AACCCAGACCCTTCAGATCGGCTTTAATGCAATCTTCCCACCTTCGCTTCGGTCTACCCCTCGGACGCTTACCATTCAGCACAGCAAATATTAACCTTTTAGGAATTTTCTCGTTACTAAGCCCAACAACTTTACAAGCCCATTTGAATCGCCGCGATGAAATTACCTCAATTATATTACCCGGATACAGTTCACGCAATTCGGCGTTGTGTAACCGTCTGAACTCTCCGGTTAACTCATCCTTCTTCGGTCCGAATATTCTACGCAATACTTTATTTTCAAAAACTTTAAGACGCTGCTTAATGCAAGCGTCCAAGTTTCGCATCCATAAAGAACTGTAGGCAAGATAATTGTTTTATAGATTCTAATTTTTAAGTTCCGGGACAAGAGTCGCGAACTAAGTAGTTTTGTCACCGAAAAATAACAAGCATTTCCCGCCTTCGGTCTAACCTTAATCTCTTCTTCAATTTCGTTTTTTCTAGTTATCGTAGAACCTAGATTCCTAAATTTATCTACCTGTTCAAACACATTACCATCTATATCGATATCACCAGCAGTATCGCCATTTTTGCAGCTAACCATAAATTTTGTTTTATCCACGTTTATTTCGAGTCTTAGTCCTTTACCGGCTTTCAATAACGTTGTCGTATTTAGTTTTATAGTTTCAACGTCTTCGCTTAACAGTACCAGATCATCAGCATAGCCCAGCACGGATGATGTCCCGCCCAGATCCAATCCTTTCTCGGTCCTTATATTGATTAGTAAGATAAATACAATTAATAGAAAAATATTGATAATTTTTTGTTAAAAAATTGAGATTGGTGTGAATTAATTTTTGAGACCGACTTAAAAAAAAATTCCCCTGGTTTAGGGCTCCCTTAGTAAATGAGGATGATGGTGTGTTTAATGTTGATGATTTCTACAAACAAATAATAATTTAACAAAAAATATGGTGACATGCACGCATCACACAACTTTCACTTAGTACTATTGAACTAGGATGTTTGAGCATAATGAAGTAAAAGTAAAAATTACTATGTTTTTTCCCACCTGCCTAATGTATTAAATTTATGCTTTTTTCCTCACTAGTCATTTCTTCTATTCACTAGTCACTTCTATGGCTGTTTATTTTCATAATTTAATTAACTAAAATAAATTATTAAAAATACCTCCAAATTTGTACTGTCCGAGAAAAGCTCAAGTGATATAGAAAATTAATTTATATTTTTTTTTTTGGGGGGGGGAAGGGTTCTTTTTATATGTTAAAGCACATGCATGCGTACAAATATTGGACTGTTTGTCCGATATAATCACGTTATTTTGAAAAATTGGGGGTTTACCTAACTACAACCGAATCAATATTCTTGAAGGCCACCTTATTTACCGATTTTGTGATCAACTTAACTTACGATCGAAGTAGAAAGGAAATTTGTGTTTACGAGTTTTTAGTACCTATTTTTTTTTATTTATTTATTTATTGAGTATTACAACAATCTGTCAAATGGACATTAGATATAATGAGGTAGGATAACATTCACACTATATGTACAAAAAATATAAAATAAATAGAAGGAAAATAATAATCAAAAGTATATATATATATATAAAGTATATATATATATACAGGGTTCTCTTGGAGTTCCCTCGCCTGATTATAAGTAGGGTATATAGGTATGCATGTGTTTTTTTTTTTTTTTTTTTGGTTAGTTTTAATTTTCTTATTTAACCCTGCGCTACTTTCTCAACTGCCTCACTTGACAGGGAATATACGGACTGTCCACTCTGTAACTTACCAGTAAAGAAAGACCGTTTTTCCATTTTTTGGCTGAATGTTCAATGCATGGTCAAATTCTATTTAATTTCTTGGAACTAGCCCGCTTCGATATGATATCCTAATTTTCCTTCTAAATGTCTGTGAACGAATGTCGTAAAATTGTCGGTTTTGCTCGACATGCTTGGATACACCGTTTTAATTTGCATAGACAACGATCCGTCTAATTTATTTGTGGTCAGTTTTATTCATGCTATTGCCTATGATTTCCCTTAATTCTCTTTATTATTATTTCTTAGGTATAAATTATTCAAAATATTTATTATTTTATTAAATACGACAACGTTAATGAAAGCCGGTAAAGAACTAGGACTCGAAATAAACGTGGATAAAACAAAATATATGGTTAGCTGCAAAAATGGCGATACTGCTGGTGATATCGATATAGATGGTAATGTGTTTGAACAGGTAGATAAATTTAAGGTCTAGGTTCTACGATAACTAGAAAAAACGAAATTGAAGAAGAGATTAAGGTTAGACTGAAGGCGCGAAATGCTTGTTATTTTTCTGTGACAAAACTACTTAGTTCGCGCCTCTTGTCCCGGAACTTAAAAATTAGAATCTATAAAACAATTATCTTGCCTACAGTTCTTTATGGATGCGAAACTTGGCCGCTTACATTAAGGGATGAGCAGCGTCTTAAGGTTTTTGAAAATAAAGTATTGCGTAGAATATTCGGACCGAAGAAGGATGAGTTAACCGGAGAGTTCAGACGGTTACACAACGCTGAATTGCGTGAGCTGTATCCGGGTAATATAATTGAGGTAATTTCATCGCGGCGAATCAAATGGGCTTGTAAAGTTGCTGGGCTTAGTAACGAGAGAATTTCTAAAAGGTTAATATTTTCTGTGCCGAATGGTAAGCGTCCGAGGGGTAGACGCGAAGGTGGGAATATTGCATTAAAGCCGATCTGAGGGGACTGGGTTTGGACGGCAAACGGTGGAGGGACGTGTGTAACAAGCGATTGGTGGTGTCGGCATCGAACCTTCGGGTTCGTTAAGCCTTTTATTATTATTATTTATTTATTATTTTATATTGTATTTGTTGTTTTATTATTTATCGGTTATTCATGTATATGTAATTATTATAAAGTCTTTATTTGTACTGTACCTGTAAAACATATAAAATTTCCAGCAGGCGAATAACCATGCTGTATAAATGTATACTTTAAAATTTATAATTAATGTATATTTAATAAAGCATTTCTCCAAAAACAGAACAAAAAAAAAAGAATTATATGTAGTTTTATGTGTTTTTATTTAATAATTGACTAATATTAATGAAGTTTATGAATGAATTACTTTTTTCTGTTCAGTAATTCACGTTCCCTTGATATTAATTAATTCAGGTTATCAATTGTCAACCACAATTTTAATTGCGTTTTGAAACGTTTCCATATTCTACACTAGAGATATAACAATATAATCGGAATATCCACGGTGACTGAGGACAATAATGGAGATGTAAATAGTATTCAGCGACGCGCTATTGAGAACAGGGCAATAGATCTTCTCTGGTCAGTAACCTTCTTGTTCGATCTCTCTGGCGTCTTCTTTTCCTCCCTCAATATAACGCTGTCTGTCCTCTTGTCATTTATCAACATCTCTACGTCTTGCAAGGAATTTATTTCTTCTACTCAAAGGAAATAACGGATTCTTCAGAGGAAAGAACCCTTCAATTCTCCTTAAAATGATGTTCGAGGATATCTAACTTAAAAGTTTCCAAAAGGAAAAAAAGTGTTTCCATTACTTATTAGAAAGCGTTGGATAGATAGATCCAAATCGTGAGTAATAAACACAAAAAAAGTGAAAAAGTTAGCATCATTGGAAATGGAATTTTAAAGGTCCTGATGTGCTATTTCCTAACTCCGGCATGTTCCTAACAAAACGATTGAGCTGAACGTACAAAAAGAAAAAAATATTTACATCATTGAAGCAAAAGGATTAAAATAAGGAGCGATGGTCCATATTAATCTTTCGTTGTAAACCGATACAAACGCGAAAAAGTGGACGATCCAGGAAGATGTGGTTATAGATATGTAGTTTAAGCTATGTCATAGTTCATTGAGAAGGAGGCGGAAGAAAAAATATTATGTTGTGTGCTTTATATCACACGATAGATGTTAAAACATCAAAAAAGCGAGATTAAGAATATGAATATAAATTTTTCTATGTCCCATATTCACAAAGTAATAAGATTTACAATATAATATATTTGCGAATTAACTATTTTTCTTTTTTACAAAATGCAGATCCGATTTGTGTTTCTGCGATATTTTAATCCATGTCTTCGATAAAACTCATAATTTTTTTTTTATATTTCGACACTATTTTTTCCATTTTCGCCTCTCTAACACGGCGTCGTATTAAGATAGTCTTCTGAATAATAGATCATTATAAAGAAGATGAAATTCTGAACATTTCCCTCGCTTACAGTATGCAAGAACGATTTTTAGTTTCTGAGTTGTTTTCATCCATATGCAAAAACACTTCAATTAGTCGAATCGAAAAACGTTTCATCTCATCGTAACCTACAACTATTTTATTTGCGAAAACTCTTGAAATTGGGGTGTTTTCAGTTTGGAAAGGAGTAAACATTGTCTGTTTAATCACGTACTAAAAACTCGTAAATACCCATTTACTTTCTACTTAGGTCATAGGATAATGTGATAGAAAAGTCGATAAAAAATGTGGCTTAGAAAAATATTGGGCCGTTTGTCGTAAATAACCTCGTTATTTTGAAAATTTTGTGGTGTAGGTCACACAAAACGGCTCAATAATTTTGAAGGCCACCTTTTTTCTCGATTTTGTGATCAATTTATCTTATGATCCAAGTAGAAAGCCAATGGAAATTTATGAGTTTTTAGTACGTAATTAAATGGACAACGTTTGCCCCATTCCAGATTGAAAACGCTCGAAATTGAGTTTTCGTGAATAAAATAGTTGTAGGTTATGATGAAATGAAACCATTTACTAAGTTTCAGTCAGATGTTGATAATTCGATAAAAAGGGATCTGTATCACAGACTACCAATGAGCGTTACACATCCGAGCCTGACGGTCAAGTCTCATTCACTCCTCACAAAAAAAGCGCAAAACGCGCCTAAAACGTTTAAGAACTATAACATAATATTTATACATATATTACTTTTATATATACTTTTAACTGACCTTGCCTCATTTCCGTAGAAGCCGGACCGGAAGCCTGCTCTGTGAAGCCGTGGATATAGATGACGTTGGTCCGGTTATTGTTGAGGTACCGCCAATCGCTGCTGTTCTCCCAATCGAATTCCATCTCTTGTCCGAACTCGCTGAAATATGAATGAATGAATGAATGAAGAATGAACATGATGTGAACAATGAAGGATAAATGAATGGTCGTTAAAATATTTTGATAATTATAAATCAATCATGACTGACGGATCTTTTTTACCAACTTTGAAAAAAATATTTTTATATGCCGTGGGAAATCCGCATAGAAAATCAAGCAATAATTATAAAATAAAAAGTACGTAAGAAAGGACCACCAGAAGAAAAATCAGAAAAATATTCTCGCTTATGGATTAGACATTAGAATTCGTTCTCCATATTACTATTATTTGAAGTGATATCAACTTACAACCTTCTGTATCTAAATATATATCCTGCAAAAAAATAATATAATTCAAGACCAGTTTCTTAAAAAAAAAAAAAAAAACTTATTTTTCAACCACTTCTATTAATATAAAGCTTCGATTTAAAAAAAAAATCTGGTGCGCGCAACACGCTACTTTCACTTACCGCTCTACTTAGAATAGAACATATTTTCTGACTATGTTGGGCTATTATAAATTTCTTTAAGTGCATTTTTAACTGCGTAATACGTCTTGTTTTCGGAATCTCAAGAGATACGCATCTAACTCAGTATTGCACCAAGTTGAAGTGACTCTATCCATCCAACCGCCGTCTGTACTTCCTTTGCTACCTTTCTATACTAAGTCATCAGAACAAAGCGACCTTCCTATATTTTTCACAGCCTACAATTTAAATATTCCATTCAATCCCGTCCCACTAGATCCCGTACTTCTGACATCTATCCACTTCCTCACCGAACTGCTGCGTTTGACAAATCCTTTATAATTCAAGCCGTCTCCACCTGGAATACAATCCCACCCTATATCCGACATGCGCAATCAGTTTCCTCATTTAAATCCCTCCTTTTTAAGCACCTTATTCTTTCCCAACCCGATTGATCATGAAAAATAGATAAGAGAACTTTTAAGTTCCCCCAGAAATGTTTTTTTTTTAATTATGTTATTTTATTTTCATATGTTTGTATTGTATATATCTGTGTGTATTTAGTGGTTTTGTTTTATTTTTCATCCAATATTTTTATTTTAATGAGCATTGCAAATATTTAATTTAATTTTATGGCCACACAGGCATTTTCTGTGTATCTATAATTTGTCCTAAATGGACAGAAGTCCCAGGATAATAAAAATCTATTTTCATTTCATTTCATTTTAAACGGAGATAAAGCTTAAAGCTTGAAAATATTATCATATGTGAGCTTATAATCATTAAGGCCGTTAAAGTTACAAAAAGTCTTTTTATTACAAACCACACAACTTCAGTCTCTGAATCTTTCAGTTGACAGAATGTCTAACTCCAATTTCACTATTTTTGAGTAACGTTATTTTAGTGGTACGTCTAGTTGGGAAAGTTATATCTATACACACAGTGAGTAATTTAATTCCAGAGTAGATGATTGTAGTGTTAAAATATACAACTGTGAATAAAGGTATAAATTTTCCCACTAGAAACATCACTAAAATTAATAATAAAGAATGTTGAAATTGTAGTTAGTCATTATGGCAACATCTCTACTCCCATCTAATTACCAGATACTAAATACCAGATCCTAAGATCAGTGATAAGTTATGATCTCTACTGATTATGATACCTTATGATCCAATTAGGAATACAAATAAATGGATTTGTATACTTACTATACATTCAAGAAGAGTTTCATGTCTCCTTTAATTATCGGGCAGCAGTATTGGCAATCACCCTTTGGAATCATTTGGACTGTGTAAGGATTTGTAGCTGAAATAAAAGAAACCATGGATCATTTAATATAAATAATTGCTCGAAATATTAATTTAACAATATTAAACCAATATGGAAGATTGGTAAAGAAAACTCTGCCAATTGTCTTGATCTGGGTCATGTAAGGTAGGCATAGAATATTTATCATTTCTGTTGGTTACATAATTATCTTTCAAGGTCAGGATTTGTCATTTGGGAATAAAATTTAGAGGAAAAGAGATTTTGAAATATAGTCCTATCAATATTAAAGAAAACCCGCACGCTTAAGTGAAAGAAGATTTTAATAAAAGAATTCAATAAATCGATATTTATCTATCGACCTATCTATATCACAACATGAGTTATCTGTTTCACATCGGATTTTCGAATATAGTTTAATTTTTTATATAAATTAGGCCATTATTCACCAACATTTTATTCATTAGCTATTTTATTACCACGTTTCGACCATCACTATGGTCATTTTCGGGTCTTATTGAGTCCTCTATCAGATATTCATTATTTTTTTATTTTATTTTATTTATTTAGATATATAATATTCTGTCTCTAGGACAATAATTATAGTGATGAATGAACACAATCACATATATACAGGAAATTCAAAATTAACAAACGTAAAATAATAACTAAATAATAAAAAAAAAAACTATGTACAATAAAAAAAAAAAAATCTAAAGATAAGTAAATTAAAAACATAAACACAGTCATACATATATGCAATATATACAATCAGGCAGGGACCCCAAAGCCAGGCTTCTCTCTCCAACTATAGAAGGAAAAGCAGAACTCTAAGAGATCCCTGCGCTACTTCCTCAATCCCGTCACTGGCGCTAAAGCCAGTGGAGTTTGAGCGAGAGCGCTTTAGCCACATACACTCATTACTGACTGAATTCTGGACGACTGAGTCCTTCCAGAAATGACGTAGGGGAAATTCTTAAATAACAGGACAATTTAATTTTTCTCTGAACAAATTAATACGGCATTAATAATGAATATATAATGAAGGACTCGATAAGACTTGAAAATGGCACTAGTGATGGTCGAAACATCGTAATAAAATAGCTAATAAACCAAATGTTGGTGAATAATGGCTTAATTTATATAACAAATAAAACCTCAAGACAACAATTTTAGGAAAAATAAACAGAAGAAATATAGTTTAAAAATTTATTTGCCGCAAATAACCAACCGTTCCAAAATTGCAACTGCCTATCATATTTCACAGATATATTACTTACAATTAGGTACATTAATTTTACTAGCGAAATGGAATTTAATTATATTGATACTAGATTATTTGTACATTCCAACTTTGGGTCAAATGGAATCGTTACTGAAATATTGTCTTATCAACAAAAATGCGTTTGCACATCCGAAAGCTAAAGCATTATTTGAAAACAGTTGATAAAATTTAATAAAATGTATGCCTACTCCATAATTTTGTTTTCAATCTCTAGCTTCTTTTCAATTTTGTTTCTAATTGAACAAGGCGTTTTTGAAATATATCTAAGAAAATACTTTTATTTATGGAGTAAATTAGTAGATAGAATTAATACAGCACTATGCCGGTATCAACCCCGATTGACTACCGACAGACAAGCTCGGAACCAAATTTGTTCCTCCGTTTCTAAGTTTCTAAAATATAAAATATGCTTTTATTAACATCTCAGACAGAGCTTCTCTATCTTCTGTAATGAGGAATATTTTTGCCGCGTTATCTTTCAGTATTTCGTAAATTATTTTCCAATATATTATTGTTATAAACACGTTGTAGATTAAAAAAATAGACTTAAACACCTCAATAAAGTAGTCCAATGTAAATACAATTAAACGGTAAAAAAAACAATAATATGTACTGTATAACATAATATGGTCTAACAGAACATAGTACTGTAGAAAAACAGATGCCTCCGTAACTCATTTGATGAAAAATAAAATAGGAAAGTCATTAGGCTTAAAACGCAGCGTAAGATAAAACAGAAGAAACGTTTGACTGACTTGACAATTAACCGACGAATCGAACAGTAACTTATCGTAAATTGAAAGCAAAGTCAATTTTTGAAGGGGGCTTCGTAAAGTGTCACTATAAAAGCAGATTTTTTTTTATTTTAATTAAAATGGCTCACCATATATCAGCGTCATGGCGGAGCACAAAAGCTCCTTTAGTAGATCCAGCTTGCTCAACATGGTGGAGGTCCTTCGACTTCCAGCAGTTCGAGTAAATCTGGAAGCTGTCCCTAGCGAAAAGGAGAGAGAGGATCCAAACATCAACAACACGCAAGGTCGCAACGTTGCTATCAATAATACCATACGTCTGCAAAACTGCAAACTGCCCTGTTCTACGGCCGTCAGTAGTTTTGTTTGTTTGTGTGGTCTTCGAATGCCGTATCAGTGAAGGCTTTGGCATTCCGCGATATTTGCCAACTAAATTCAAATGTATGGTAATAAAAATAAAAATTTATATTTCACTGGGATTGTGATGTTTAACTTGAAATATTTTTATAAAATAGTAAGGCAAATGTACCGGCAACAGACACTATTAAAGACTGATGATAAATCTTTAAATATGTGTCAGTCTTTTGTAGATTTTTTAAAGTGAAAACTTCCTTGAGCGCGTTGTACACTTTTTTTTTTATGGAGAGTGAGTTAGATTGAGTCGTCAGATTTCCGATGTGTAACGCTCGGGCAGTCAGCTGGCGTCGACTAATTGGAGTTTTTTTATGGATTAAAATATCTCAAAAATTAAAAATTGAGTTTGCATATTAATAGCTAGAAAAATCTACATCATTTCATCCTCTTAGTAATGAGCTATTATTGAAAATTGTGTCTTAACGCGATGCCATATTGTAGAGGCGAAAAGAGAAAGATAATGTCGACAGCCAAATGATAACGAGTATTGTTGAAGATATAGATTAAAATATTTCAGATACTAAAAATCGAACCTGCATACTGTAAGCGAGAGAAATGTTCAGCATTCCATCCTTTCTATAACGAGCTATTATTTATAATTTATATTTCAAATTACAAATCTCACCTTGTTGCTGTTTTCATATTTAAAGATTATAAATGTGTAATCAATCACAAACATATTTTTATGTTTTACATTTCTAAAACTATCATTGATTTTGATTTGTAAAATTATTGATCCTACTATTAGCGAAAATAAATACACGATTGAGTTGACTTCTACGTTGTAAATAAATTAGAAACGATAAAGTACTTAAAAGGATATTCAATTCTCAAACGGTATATTTTCGAAGGGTAATTAAAGTTCATAATCGCTCTCATGAAAACTTAATCACCTATTCACGGGATTTATGAAGGTTGTAAAGTCACGTCATCTTCTTTGTCGTTGATATCATAAAGACTTTATAACAGCAATATACTTACTACTAATAAATATATATATAAGTTAAGGTACGGAGCGGGAAAGTATTAGCTTTAATACCAAAAGCATTTATGTAAACAACTTAGAATGTATATATAGAGGATTATAAGGAGGAATAAAGCAGTCTTGTTTCTGACTTCATGCGTATTATTTGTTGAACCTTTACTCTTTTTTTTTAAGTGTTTAAAGCCCGCATCGTTTAACTGGCGCCGAAACCCGGGAAGGTGAGAGTGCAGAGGTACGGTTTTTTAAAACCACCGTTACGAGCATGCCTGAATTTGCCTTAGGGCAGCCGGCTACCATGAATGTGCCAGAGATCCCTCCGTTACCGCAGGGAACCTTTGCCGCGGGGCAAGCGAATGCGATAGAGTGGATGAAAATCCGGGTAGCCTCTGCACAGGACCTCAGGGAGGCTATATCCGATCTCGAGCGCTTCACTGGAGAAATAGGTGAGCTCAACCATTTTTTAAAGGGTGGAGATCGGCTCGTGGCGAGAATTAATGCGAAGATTGGAGAGAACCTCGTCAACGCTGGGGATGCGGATGGCCTTAAGGCGGCCCTTGTGTGCAGGGTAAAACGGAGCATCCTGAACCACATTCAGGCAGATGAAGAGACGCCGTGGGAAATGGTCAAGGAGAGACTGAAGAAGGCCTACGGTGGTGGCAGATGGACTACGGAGGAAGACATCTATCAGATGTTTCGCGAGGTGAAGTCTTCACGGCAGTCCAACGGACAGTATGCGGCAACATTAGTAGCTCACTACAACAGGATCACCGAGAAGATGCGGGAGACAGCTGAAGCTCCGGAGGTCGAAGCGAAGATGGCCTTCTTGTCCACCATACTGAAGGTGCAATTGGCGAAGGAAACGGGGAAGAAAGATGGCCTACCCCGGGAACGTTCGTTTATTGAATGCGCCCAAGAAATGGTAGATTCCAGCGCTCGAGATGAAGAAGCCCGGTTAGAGGGGGAGGAACCAGGATGGAATAGATGATCTATAGGAGACCTAGGAGTTCACCAACGACCTGGAGAAGGAGAGAGCCCGCACACAACGGGAGAGAAAAGACCACCGGAGCCGAACGAAGACCAGGGCAAGGTAGAGCAAGAGGTAGCCAACGGAGAGAGGACAGGAAATGCCACGGTTGTGGAAAGAGCGGACACCTGGTGGCACAGTGTCCCCGCACGAAATGTTTTGAGTGTGGGACTGAGGGACACATTGCGAGGCAATGCCCGTACATCTATTCCAGAAGAGGCTCACAGAGGGTTGAGCCGATGGAGGTAAATACCCAGGAAGTGAGGAGAAGAAGGATACACACAAGGAGGAGCGAGTCATCAAGAGACTCGTCGGAAGAATCCTTGGCCACGGAGACAGAAGAAGAGATAGAGGACCCAGTAGGCCGGGAGAACGAGAGGAGTCGAGGAAGAAGCAGCGGAAGGAGTGGACGCCGACAAACCGTGGAGAGGATCTGAGGAGAGTGTCAGGCGAGGAATGACCGCACGCTAGTGAGTTGTAACATCAGAGGTAAAAGCTGCTGGTTACCTATAATAGAGGTGGGAGGAGTGCGATGCCTGGTAGACACCGGGAGTTCCAATACCATCATGACACGGGGAGTGTTGAAGAAGCTGTACGATGGAGAGAGGACACTCCAAGTCAAGGTATGTAATTGTAAGTTAATCACCCTGGGTGGCCCGTGTGGGGTAGAAGGGGAAGTGGAGATAGGTTGAGGGTGACGGGCAAAACGGTGCACGAGATCCCGCTGAGGCGCGAAAAGGTGAGCTACGTGAAAGAGAGGAGGTATCCGCAGGCACTTCGCCAATACATTAGGGAAGAGTTGGAGAGTCTAAAGAAGCAGGGGATAATTGTCGATAGCACGTCGCCATATAATAGCCCGCTATGGGCAGTTAAGAAGAAAAGCGCGCCCGGAGAGGATAAGTACCGCGTGGTAATCGATTACCGCACACTTAATGAGAATACGGTGGATGAAAAATACCCAATCCCGAAGTTTGAGGACATTTTAGATCGGTTAAGCGGGGCAAAGGTATTCAGTACTCTTGACCTGAAAGCGGGATATCATCAGATTAGGATGCTTCCGGAGGATCAATTAAAGACAGCATTCACGTTCGAGAGGGGGCATTTCGAATCTTTCGGCATTTCGGGCAAGTTAAAAGAATCTTCGGCTATAGTCACACGCTGGAAGGAGATTCTTAACCAGTACAACATGGACATTGTGTACATGCCCGGAAGAGAGAATGTGGTGGCGGATTGGCTATCGAGAGCGCTAACTATAAATGCCATAGAAGAGGATACAGCTGAATCATCGGGAGGCGTGAGACAATTCCTGAGGGACTGGACGCCAGAGGGAGAGGGGGTACAAGTGGTGGAAGAAAATGTTGATACCCAACAAGAAGAAAGTCCAGCGGAAGAGAGGCCAGTGGACATGGAAGAGCGGGAGGAAATCGTTAACGATCGGGTCTGATGAAGATATTATACAGTAAGTACGGCAACAGCCGAATAACAACCATTTGGTCGCAACCAGGGGCCAGCGTGGACCAGATCTGCAGAGCTCTCAAAGACGCGTCGAAAGCAGGAAAAATTCACCACTTATATGTAGGAAATGAAACGATTTGGGAGAAGATAAAGAGGCTATGGCGGGATGAACGATTAGGGATGGATAGGGCGTTCATTCGGTGCAAACTGATGGTGGATACAGTGCGAGATGAAGAGCAGCAGAAGGACATAACGCTTGCTTACCACCAGGGCAAGACCAACCACCGTGGGGCGCAGGAGACGTTTCAAGCGTTGCGTCGGAAATATTTTTGGTGGGGAATGAAGAAAATGATCGCAGAGCTCATAGGGTCCTGCAGGGTGTGCGCGAGCACGAAGTACGATCGGCACCCCCCGAAAACGATGCAAGAGGAGACACCCACGGTCGATGCACCACTAAGCGACTTGCAAGTGGATACGTTCACATGGAGAGGGTATAAGTGGGTCACGCTCATAGACCTCTTCAGCAAAGCGGCAATGGTGTACCTGGTACAGGAGCGGTCAGCAGAGGCAGTCTTAGGAGCCCTCCAGACGTGGTTCCAATGTTACGGAGTACCCGATCGCATCACCTCCGACGGGGGCAGAGAGTTCGACAATGCCAAAATCAGAGCGGAGATGAAGAACGTAGGTGTCAGCTGGCATCTTAATACTCCAGGGCACCCCAAGAGCAGAGGAAGTATAGAGAGGCTGCACAGCACTCTTAGTGACCATCTAAGGGTGTATCAGGTGGAGAAAGGTTTGGAACCGGATGTGGCAATGCGGAAGGCGGTGGCAGCGTACAACCATTCTATACATACGACAACAGGGTTCTCTCTATTTGAAATTCTCTTCGGATTACGCGGACGGCAACGGGACTGGGGAGGTACAGCTACGGACGAGCAAATGACAGAAAGAATGGTTAGTAACAAAATGGAACTGGGTAATCTCTGGGGGAAGGTTAAGGATAAAATAGAGGGGGAAAAGCGGAAAAGGGTAGCGCGGGAAAATCTCAAAGTGATGGAAGTAACAGGGGGGTTGAAAATAGGGTCCATAGTGTATCGCAAATTAGGCTCGAATAGGGGAAAGGAAGTGCGGAGATATGAGGGTCCATTCAGGGTGATAGTCATTAGAGAGCACAATGTGGTGACGATTGAGATTGTTAACGAACCAAAAAAACGAAGGACGGTTCATATAGAACAATTAAAATTTCCGATTACAGTGTCACAGCAACCTTAGAACTGGAGTGCCCTCGTCTCCCGAAGGAAGATTTTTTTTTTTGTTGTTTTGTTTGTTTT